GGCAGCACTCTCGCGGCAACGCGCCTGGCTGCATGTGCCACCTTAGCCTCCGCCTGCTGTTCAGCGAGAACGGCCTGCTCAACTCTCTCATCAGCTGCTTGAACTTTCCTCTCAACCCAGAGACGATGTTCCAAGGCCTTTTCAAGAACCTTGGACGCGTGACGTTTGGCCGCCTCGGCAGCCTGATATTCTCCTTCAGGGAAATTGTAAACCGGCGCTGGCTTGGGCGCAGAATCGGCAACTGGTGCCAGCAACTGCCTGGCCTTGTCTGCTGGCAAGAGCTTGGCGATAGCGTGAAGCTCGGCCAGCTTGTCAGGTGGCAAGGTGCACACCTGATTCTTGCCGCCCGCGTCAGCCAGCGCCGTGCTGTCACCTCCTCCATCAGCTCCGGGTGGCATGAGTACCACCTTGCAGTGGAGACAGGTGTGAGTCTTCTTGAGGATGTGATCGTACGTCCACGCTCCGCATGCTGAGCAGAAAGTGTAGGGCTTAACCTTGCGGCGAGACTTGCCAGCACGATTACGGCCCTGCACATCTGCCCACTCTTCATAGGTCATGTCAGACAGTGAAAAACAGAGGGGGACTCGCGCGATGCCCAAATGAGTACTTGAGCCAGGAGGAGGAGGAGGAGGAGGAGGAAGAGGAGGAGGAGGAGGCGGAGGAGGAGGAGGAGGAGGGGGAGGAGGAGGGAGAGGAGGAGCAGGAGGAGGTGGAGGAGGAGGGGGAGGAGGAGGAGGAGGAACTTCCGTCTACCGATCTGACTGCGCATGTGACTGTGCTTCGCTTCTGGCCTCTGCCAGCCGCCCCCCGAGCGACAATGGAGCGTCCCCGGCTGGACGCGCGGGTTCTGCCTGCCTCGTCCGGCGCTCCTGGCAGCTCTGGCGCGTTTGGACGGATGTGCCAGAGTCGTGCCATGCCGCTCGTGCCGATTTCGGGAAAGAGAGAGAGAGAGAGGGAGAGAGGGAAGGATGTGTATATATATATATATGTATGTATATATATAGAGAGAGAGGGAGAGAGAGAGAGAGAGAGAGAGAGAGAGAGTGAGAGAGAGACACAACAACAATTACTCCGACGGTAGGACCCCACATACGAATCTGTTTAGCTTCCCTTTAGCCCTTCCCTCCTCCCTCTGGCGGACACTCTCCTCTCGCCTTCTGCTCTTCCCTCTCCTCCTCCTTCTATTTATCATCACCCTTCCCCTCCTCTTCCTCCTCTTCCTCCTCCTCCTCCTCCTCCTCCTCCTCCTCCTCTTCATCATCACCCTCTCCACATACCCCTTCCCTCCTCCTCATCCTCCGCCTGCCTCTTCTCCATGTGTACCTCCCCGCCCCCTTGGTCGGGGCAAGCAAATCGATGTTCCTCGGCGCCCTCGCCGCCACGGCAATCAGGCGCGCGTTTGCCGACGGCTAGATCGCGAAGCCGTTGGGACAACCCCGCGAGCTGCTGGGGCGCGAGAGCAAGCCGTTGGGACAACCCCGCAGGCACCGAGCTAATCGCGGCCGCGCTCAGGCGGGAGGCAGCACGAAGCCCAGCTCTGCCGCGAGCTGCTCCGCCTCGGCCCTGGAGCCCACCGCTCTCTGGTCGAACTCCTGGAGCGCCTTCCGCAGGGACGCCGGCGGCCCGCGCTCCAGGAACTCCCGCGCGGGCGGCCGCAGGATCAGCATGTTCCGCATGCACCTGGCGCGGGGGAACATGACGTAGAGGTGCAGCCACCACTGCTCGTCCGACATGCCCGTGCGGCCAGCGTCCTCATCCCTGGCGCAGTCGATGGTGACGCCCTTGCGCAGCGTCTGGCCCTGCGACAGCGTGGAGGTCAGGTAGGACGCGTGCGTCAGCGTGAACCCCGAGCGGTGCACAGTGTGCGCCCCCGAGCTCTGCCTCGTGAGCTCCTGCTCGCTGGGCCTGAACATGAGCAAGCTCCTCGCCCCATAAAGAGGGGCTCCCGCTTGAGATTCGCTCGCAATTCACTCGCAGACGAGGCTCCCGCTCGATATGTCCTTCATATTCAAGCTTGAAGAGCCCAAAAGTGACGACCGTTACACGTTTCGGATGACCCGCTCGGATTAGTAACATCATCTGCGGGTCCCATAAGGAGGGGGCTCCCGCCTGAGATGTCATCGCAATTCAGTCACAGACGAGGCTCCCGCTCGATACTTCCTTCATTTTCAAGCCTGAAGCGCCCAAAAGTGACGACAGTTACACGTTTCGGAAGACCCGCTCGGATTAGTAACATGATCTGCGGGTCCCATGAGGAAGGGTTCCCGCCTGAGACTTCCTCGCAATTCACTCACAGACGAGGCTCCCGCTCGATACTTCCTCGATACCCAAGCCAGAAAATGACGACAGTTACACGTTGCGGATGACCCGCTCGGATTCGTAACGTGATCTGTGGGCCCCATAAGGAGGAGCTCCCGCTTCAGATTTCCTCGCAATTCACTCACAGACGAGGCCCCCGCTCGATACTTCCGCCACATTCAAGCCCCAGGAGCCCAAAACTGACGACAGTTACACGTTTCGGATGACCCGCTCGGATTAGTAACATGATCCGCGGGCCCCATCGGGAGGGGGCTCCCGCCTGAGACTTCCTCACAATTCACTCACAGACGAGGCTCCCGCCTGAGACTTCTTTGCAATTCACTAACAAACGAATGAGTAATGACGAAATGATGAGTGAGTGACTGGGTAACGAAGGGGATTATGCTGATGATGATGAGTGGTGATGATGATGCTGATGGTGATGATGATGGTGGGCGATCGCATGACGATAAGGTCGATGCTGATGGTACTGATGAGAATGATGATGATGATGATGATGATGATGATGATGATGATGATGATGATGATGATGATGATGATGATGATGATGATGATGACGAGTGATGAATGGGTGATGATGTAGGTGTGTTCTGGTTCTGGTTCCTGCGCGGGGTGTCCAGAGAGAATAAAAAACCCCACTTTGGATGTGATGAACAACAACAACAACAACAGCAACAACACCAACAACAACAACCACAACCACAACAACACCATCAACAACAACACCAACAACAACACCACCAACAACAACGACGACAACAACACCAACACCACCAACAACAACAACAACCAACAACAATAACCACAGCAACAACAACAATTGCAATACCAATAACAATACCACTAAACAATAACAACAGCAACATCAACAACATCAGCAAACACAACGAACCACATATATATATACATAATATATATAATATATATATATATATATATATATATATATATTATGTATATATATAGAGAGAGAGAGAGAGAGAGAGAGAGAGAGAGAAAAAAAAGAGACACAGAGAGGGAGAGAGATCTCCCGTGCTCGTACATCACGCTGGCTCGGGCTCAGACTTCGAAGCTAGATCGCCAGATCTTCCGGCATCTCAGACACCAAGCTCACCCACATTTTCCAATCTGTGGACCGCGGAGGTCTGGACCATTTCCCTCGGGCCATGCTGTTCGTCCCGGGGCCGTTTTTGAGCGGCCGTGCCCCCCCGAGGCCGACAACGGCCAACCACTGGCCGCTTCGAGTTTTTTGGAGGGGATCATGGTTTAACCCTTTGATCAAGCTCCGGCTGCTGTCGGCCTCGCCACTGCACAGTCGCTGGCCCCGCGCTGTGCAGGGCTCGCCGCTTCGGCTGCCTTCGCAAAAACACGTCGTCTGGCCGCGGAGGGTCGAGGGTAGTGCTGTGCAGCCTTCAGAACGGGAAGCAGTGAGTGAGAAGAGAGCGGCCGCGCGGCGACTTCGTCCGCCGCCGTCCTTGCTCAAGCTCCCGCCATCCTCCCCTGTTGCCTCTCTTCCCTTCCTTTTCAATTCCTTTCTGGGCATGGTTTAACCCTTTGATCTCGTTTTGGCTGGTGTCGGCCTCGCCACTGCACAGTCGCTGGCCCCGCGCTCTGCAGTTCACAAAATACGTCGTCTGGCCGCGGGGGGTCGAGGGTAGTGTTCCTTTTCCTCGTCCTCCTCCCCCTCCTGCCCCAGTTTGTTGCGATTTTGAGGCAACGTAGCTGGGTTCCGCACGCCATCACAAGGTGTTGGGGGTCGCGCAGAGCCCCTCTCTTGCTAGGGCCCGATGGCGCCGACATTTTCGTCGGCTCTGCGCGCCCTCGCTTTCAACCGAATGTTCGCCATGGGGGTTAGCATGAATTGCAATAGTGCTGGCTGCGCAGGGATATGATGCTGTGCTGCTGGCGGGGACACAGGAAACCTGCCGTCGAGGTGCAGGGGTTCTTCGTCTTCGACTCGAGGGCCATCTCGTTATCGAGTATGTTTTCTAGGAGGGGCCTCCTACAAACCGACGTACGGGGATTGCTGCATGCCTTGGGCGCCAGTACAAGGATACACATGTAGCACAAACGTGGGGTTTCCTCCTCGGGCAGCTGGTTGAGCGGCGGCAGTGCGAGTGAAGAGGGGCGCCCAGGACTTTTTGGGTCCATCTACCTGCCGCCCCAACCGTCACGCAGGGATGCGGTGCGCGACAGCGCAGCTGCTGGTCCACTGGCGGCGCACCGTGTTGCATTTTTTATCCCGTCTTGTTCTCCTCCCTGTCTTCTCCGCAGATGTGAACGATGGGGTTGGCATCTCTACGTTGTCTGGAGCATGGGAGGAATGTGGACAGCACGGCGGTGGGAGGGGCGGGATCACGGGAGGCAAGGAGGAGGGGAGCTGGAGAGGAGACGCGCAAATTTCCCGAACAAACAGAACATGTGCGTTACGCCCACGTTCCGCGCACGGGAGTAGACAGACTTCACCTGCACGAGCCCGTCGGTTGGCACGATGATCGACGATTTCTTCCTGCCGCGCGGGTGCCAGGAGCGCATCTCACGATGCCGCACTTTGAGAAGTCTCGGAATCCGTATACAAGCCGTCCGCGGCCTCCCTCCCGAGACCGCGCCCCCTGCATTTGGAGCTTGCAAGCGAAAAGTACCCGCGGAAATTGCATGCCAGCCCCCCCCCCCCCCCGCGCATGAACGTGTCCGCTTTCATGATGGCCGTGAGACGGGGCAAGGGCAGGACGGATCTGTTGCGGGACATGTTCTCGGAACTTGCTTCTCAGGAACAACGCACGCTGGCTTTATGTGGCACGGTGGCTCCTGATGAAGTGCTTGAGGACATCGAGAAAGCCGTCACTTGCGTAGGCCACCGTCACTCCGGTCAGGCCACTCAGGCTCCATCGTCCCAGGACTGCGCCCGACGACGTGAGTTACTCCGACGACGAACGGAGATGAAGGGGGTGAAGGAGGGGATGCGGGACGAGGAGGAGCTGGAGGAGGTGGAGGCGGCCCTGCGGCAATTATCGGACATTCTGAACTCCGAGCGTTGAAGAGCCGCGCGCGCTGAACGTGCGCTACAGGTTGGTTTCATCGAAGAAGCCTGGCGGGAGCGTAGACTGGCTGACTCTATGGTCGTGTCTAGGAGGGCGGGCACGTGCAGGTTCGGAGCGAAGCAGCGCGGCGGACGGAGACCAGGCCCGCCGCCTCTGGACCGCCAGGTTTGGATTGGCTTCTTGGGTCTTCCTGGTTGTGAAGGGGGGGTTAGGGGGTCACATGCGAACCCTACCCCTACCCGCCACGATTTTTGAGGGGGAGGGTGGGGTTCACTTCGCTCGAGAGTTCTCGAACATGGCCCCCTAGGGGGTCTGCAGGCGCGCGAGGTTGACTGGGGTGCGCGGCGATCGGCGCCCGCGGGCCTGCCCTACCGCGGTCGGGGGCGAGTCGATGATCTCTGACATTGCAGCTCTCGATGTTTGAGCTCTTCGTGAATACTTTCGCCGCGGAGGCAAAAGAGAAGCGGCCCCTTCGGGAATGGCGCGCATTTGAGATCTGGGACGTGTGTTTTGTTATTCCACTGGTTTCGGTCTCGGCTATTCGGAGCCTCTGCCATACGTGACGCAACGTCATCACGTTCTTCACTCGGCTCTTGCGCACATTCGTCGATGCGATCTTGCTCCATGGTACTGGCGCAGGAGTAAGGGTAAGGGAGCGACTTGGCCAGCCCTCGGGGACGCAGAGTTGTTCGTTCGTTGCCGGCCGTGGGGAAAGTTTGGTATGCCAAGCGCCTCCCCCTCCAGTTCCCTCCGCAGGATCATGGGTTTTTAAGTTTCGGAGGCGGGGGGGCGCTGTGATGGGCGCAATGGCAATCGGGCGCTGTTTTCGTCAGGGGCGGGGTTGTCATATGCTATGACTTATGGGCATGTCTAGTGCGTTTGGTAGTAGTTACACGTCGTGATTGGATAGTGCCGCGCATGATCATATACCTCCCGAAGATAGAGTACTTTGGCGCCAATGTCATCGCTTATCGACCGTCGAGATTGAGACCGCCACGACACCACTAAACTAGAAACAGGATGTGGTGTGATGAGTGAGTGATCCTTTCAACGTGCAGGGCTTTGCGGGCGCGTTCGTGGCTCCTGCTACTTTTTCGGCGAAGTTTGTCAGGGAATCGGTCCGCGGTGCACGTTGGATGCAGAGTCTGTGGATGGGTGAGCAGGTTGACGTGTCTCACCAAAAGTCTGCCGAAGATTTGTTGCGATTCGTGCCACGACCTAGCGGTGGCCCCATGAGTAACGTCTCCCAGACACTTTCTGATATTGCTAGATTACTGGACAAGAACCTTAAGCCTGCTGGGCACGCGCAAAATAGATCTTAACAAGGAATTGGCTTCCATATTGGAGGGGGGCGGCAGCATGCAAGCGCTACATCATGGAGAAGGGCATTTTCGGTGGGAAGTCAGAGGGCACGGTCACCGACGTCGCGAGGTATCTCGGGCCAGTGATCACGCCTCCTCAACATTCAGCACCTGACTGAGAGCGTCGCCTTGCAGCTGCCTCTTCAGGATTCTTCAGCACTGGGGCGCGTCGGTCTACGGATGCACCCGGGGCGTGGAAGCGAATTATGTGCACGGCATTGCTGTCAGGCCTGGGGCCGTTTAAATTTGTCACCAAAACAACGCACATTATGTGATCGCCATCTTGCGCGGCTGGGGAGAACTGCAATGGTGGGAGGGGCTTGCGCGCGCAATGACGACGATGGCATGCGCGCGCTTGATGCACGGGCTGTGCTAGAGTATGGGGGCTTAGTTGATAGCCGCGCAGAACTTCTAGCAAGACTTCTACGTTGGTACCAGAGTTGGGCGGCGCATCAGGGGGCGCGCGCAAGTATTGCTTGCCTTTTTTGGGGGAGATCTGAACGACGATCATCGGCTCTGTGGATTGACGGGGGCGACAGAGTGGGCTTTTCCCTTGGGCTGAGCGCGTGGGCACGGACGTCGGTGAGGCTACTATGGCATGTCCCGGCGCCGGATCCTCGCTGTCTCGCACGTCCGAGCGCCCGTGGCCTTTCCTGGAGGACGAGGAGGTCGCGAAAGATGTTGCTGCCTTCGGCTTTGCTGGAGCACGCGCGCGGGCGCTCCAAAACTTACGAAATACCGCCCCCTGGTCACCGCCTAGCGCTCGGGGATGTGGAGGCGCTTGTCCATGAATCGCATAGTTTACCGCATGCGTCCACGGCGCAGATGCCGATGGAGGAGACCAGGACAGCAACGTGACCTCTGCTTCAATTTGCCCCTGCAGGTTTGCCACGAGGAAAGGATTAATGGAGCGCTTGCGACACCGCCACCACAGTCGCAGTCTAGTGCACGTTCTAATGCCTGCTAACCAATGCCCGGTATGTTTTCGTTCCAAAGTCATGGCTGCTCGACACTTTCGGGCCGCTATGAACCGAGGCCATGGCGGGGGATGGAGCCCGAAGAGTATAGTGCCCGTGGAGGGCCCAAACAGCTACCAGTGCGGGCTGTGCGCTTTCGTAGGTAAGGACCGCGACGACAACCGTAGCCGCGCATTGGTCCATCTTCCGTGGCCTGCACCGGCTACTCGTGCTACCATCGTGGCTCCAGCTGCCCAGCGGTCTCCCGATGTCGGGCCCCATCGAACTCGAGATGCCGCAGTGGATGAAACGTGGATTGCAGGGGGGCCCCGCGTCGGCGGAAAAAGGCCAAGGTCGCGAAGAAGGGCGGAGGCGGCGACGGCGCGGCTCAGGGAGGGGGAGCGAAGAACGACCTCAAGCAGTTGCGCCAACTGATCCAGAAGGCGATCAGGCTCACGCTGTCGCGCTCCCGCCAGATCGCCGCGCTGGAGAGCACCGTGCATGAGGTCTTCCAGCTCCCATAGGCGGAGGTGGTCGACGTTGGCACAGTTCTCGCCCTGGCCGGCGCCAAGCGCAACAAGGCCAGCCCAGAGATGAAGCAAGCGCAAAAGTCAGGGGCCCCGGTCGACTTCAAGGCGCGCGGCTCTCCGCGAGTCGCCGCCTTCAACCAGCTGCTCAAGCGCGCGGCCCTGGCCGTCAGCGAGAAGGGCTCGCACCCCGACGAGGCGAGCTTCAAGCTCGTCCACACACGCTGGAACAAGGTCGCCCTGCGCCGCACTCCGCAGCAGCTCGCGGAGATGATCCCCCAGCGCCGCTGCAAGGAGGCCAGGGGCGACGTGCCGTCGCCGAAGGCTGGGATCTTCGCCGCGGCAGCGCAGGCAAGGCGCGCGCAGACTCTGGAGATGTGGAACCACGCGTCGTATTTCCTCCTCCAGAAGGCGCAGGCGAGTCGCTCGGCGAGGGGAGGGAATGCATGATCGTCGGCCCCCTAGGGGGGCTCCCCACCCCAGGCTGCGCGCCAAACGGGGGGGGGCGCCTCCAGGGGGAACGCGGCCTATGGCCGAGGGGCCCGGGGCCCATCCATAGCTGCCCGCCTGGGCCAGGCAGTCGCGATAGCGACGCTCAGAGGTAGTTCGTGTTGTCAGGAAGTGGACGGGCCTCCAGGAGCAGCACTCAGCACTCCTCCTCCCTCCCTCCCTCATCATCCTCCTCCTCCTCCTCCTCCTCCTCCTCCTCCTCCTCCTCCTCCTCCTCCTCCACCCCCTCCCCCCCCTCCCTCCTCTCCTCCTCCTTCTCATCCTCCTCCTCGTTCTCCTCGTCCTCCTGCCTCCCCTCCTCCTTTCCTCCTCCCTCCTCCTCCTCCTGCCTCCTCCTCTCCTCCTCCTCCTCCTCTCTCTCCTCCTCCTCTCCTCCTCCTCCTCCTCCTCCTCCTCCTCATCTCCTCTCTCCTCCTCCTCCTCCCTCCTCCTCCTCCTCCTCCTTCCCTCTCTTCTTTCCTCCTCTCCTCTTCCTCCTCTTTCTCCTCTTTCTCTTTCCTCCTTCTTCCTCCTCCTTCCTCCTCTTCCTCCTCCTCTCCTCCTGCTGTTCCTCCTCCTCCTCCTCCTCCTCCTTCCTCCCCTCCTCCTCTTCCTCCTCCTCCTCCTCCTCCTCCTCCTCCTCCTCCTCCTCCTCCTCCTCCTCCTCCCCTTCCTCCTTTCCCCCCTCCTCCTCCGCTGGCAGGCCGGGCGTTTCGCCTGAGACTTTCCCACCACTCATGACCCTGAAGCTTCACGGGTGGAGGGCGGGTCGTTTTCACAGGTCGTCTCTCGCCTCCGCTCGCCGCGCATTCGTTTACACTGTCTGCAGCACTTTCACGGATTGAGGGCGGGTCGTGTTCAACATGTCGTCTCTCGCCTCCGCTCGCCGCACATTCGTTTACACTGTCTGCAGCATTTTCACGGATTGAGGGCGGGTCGTGTTCAACATGTGGCTCTCGCCTTAGCGCGGCGCGCATTCGTTTGCAAACCTCCGCAAGAGCTTTAACAAAAATTGAGGGCGGGCCGTTTTCAACATGTGGTTCTTGCCTTAGCGCGGCGCGCATTCGCTTGCGAAACCCGCAAGAGTTTCAAGAATTGAGGGCGGGTCGTTTTCAAAATGTGGTTCTCGCCGTGGCGCGGCGCACATTCGTTTACAACATTCGCAAGAATTTCAAGGATTGAGGGCGGGTCGTTTTCAACATGTGGCTCTCGCCTTAGCGCGGCGCACATTCGCTTTGCAAAACTCGCCAGGGCTTCACGGACTGAGGGCGGGTCGTTTTCAACATGTGGCTCTTGCCTTAGCGCGGCGCACATTCGCTTGCAACATGTGCAAGGGTTTCACGGATTGAGGGCGGGCCGTTTTCAAAATGTGGTTCTCGCTTGAGCGCGGCGTACATTCGTTTACAACATTTGCAAGAGTTTCACGGATTGAGGGCGGGTCGTTTTCAACATGTGGTTCTCGCTTTAGTGCCGCGCGCA